AAGTATAGAGTGAGCATCACAGAATAGAAACTAAAGAACATACTGGAAAATTGTTTGAGCTAATTTTAGATAAAAGTACTGGTCATAATACATAATCACTTAAGTCTTATAGGGGAAACTGAGCCCTGATCTTCAGCATAAGACTCGCTTCCTGCATAAGAGACCTGGTGAATCATGAGAATGGCATGACTGGCCTCCAAGGGAAAATGTGTATTTGAGGGGTGGCAATAATAATTATGATATTCTCTAGATTCTAAAGGTCTCTTGAAGCTGAGGCAGAGGTTGTGCTCAAGGTCTGTGGTTTTGCAAGAACAAAAGCTGGCAACAGTTTATATGACCTTCTCATGTCCTCCCTAATCAGTTCTAATATTAGGCAAGCATCTTTTGTCTCCCCTTTCCCATTTTATGATAATACACACCCAAGCTTTACTCAGAAGGGCTGTTTCCAGAGTTCTTAGGTCCTCCGACACAGACTTTGGGCCAGGCCTCTTCATTCTTTTGCACCAAGACCCCACCATCTGGTGATACCCAAACTTTTTTGTTGTTGTTGTTGTTCCAGTTTTTGGCCAGGGCCAGGTTTGAACCTGCTACCCCGGTATATGGGGCTGGCGCCCTCCTCCTTGAGCTGCAGGCACCACAACCCCAAACCCTTTTAAGCTCTTATATTGTGACCCAGATTGAAATGATAGGTAATTTGAGTTGCATGACTCAATGTTTTATAATTCCTAATTATAAAAAAGTCCTAGGATAAATGCTAATGTGATGACTTTCTTTAATTTTCTTGTGAATAAATTATTGAGGATTTTTACATCTCAACTTTTAATCTATTCTGATTGATTGCCTCTAACTTCATATTTTCTGTTAGATTTCTCGCATGCTGGCAGCCAAAACTGTCCTGGCTATCCGCTATGATGCCTTTGGTGAGGATTCCAGTTCTGCAATGGGAGTTGAGAACAGAGCCAAATTAGAAGCCAGGTTGAGAACTTTGGAAGATAGAGGGGTAAGAACCAAATCCTACCTATTGCAGATAATGTTAACCTGTCAAAAATGAGTAAACTCTGAGTAGATTTATGAGCTTATTTTACTTGCTAGCTAGTTTTATTTTGTGATACTTTTTCTTTGAGACAAGAGTCTCACTTTGTCATCCTTGGTAGAGTGCTATAGCATCATAGCTCACAGCAACCTCAAACTCTTGGGCTCTATCAATTCTCTTCCCTCAGCCTCCCCAATAGCTAGGATTACAGGCACCCATCACAATGCCCAGCTATTTTTAGAGAGAGGGTCTTGCTCTTACTCAGTCTGGTCTCAAACTCATGAGCTCAAGCAAACCATTAACCTCAGCCTCCCAGGGTGCTGGCTAGGATTATAGGCGTGAGCCACTGCTCCCAGCTTTTTGATACATTTCAATATGCCTATAGATTATTTTTGTGCTTTCTGTTAACAGTTTCTTATATTAACTAAGCATTGTATATTGAATAATGTTTGCCATTAAGATATGCTATTGGAAATGACATAAAATAAAGTTATAATAATTAAAAATAACAAAGAAAATTAGTAGGAATTGCTGCTTGCTCGCCCACTGATTCTTTATACCAGTTTATAAGGAGATAATGACTTAGACTTTTATTTATAATTTTCCTTTTTTAATTTTAGATAAGAAAAATAAGTGGAACAGGAAAGACATTAGCAAAAGCAGAAAAGTATGAACATAAAAGGTGAGTATATTTGAGGGTATGGGTAAATGGTTTCTGTCAATTTAAATGTTAATTATTAATAAGAATGGTCTGTTGTAAACTTTAACTCAATATGCCCCTAGGAATTTTCTTTCTTTTTTTTTTTGAGACAGAGTCTCGCTTTGTCAGAGTGCCATGGCATCACAGTTCACAGCAACTTCAAACTCTTGGGCTCAAGTGATTCCCTTGCCTCAGCCTCCCAAGTAGCTGGGACTACAGGCACCTGCCACAATGCCCGGCTATTTTTAGACAGAAGGCCTCACTCTTGCTCAACCTGGTCTCTAAGCCGTGAGCTCAGGCAATCTACCCACCATGGCCTCGTACATGCTGGTATTACAGGCATGATCCACCAGGCCTGACTGGTTTTTTATCATTTTGCTGTATTTAACTTATTTCCCAATCCTGGTTGTAAATTTTAAGTTCTTCTAGTGTGCCATTTATCAAAAAGAATGTGTTCAGAGTTAATCCACAATAAAACAAAAATTTTTTTTTTTCTTTTCTTTGTAGAGACAGAGTCTCACTTTATCACCCTTGGTAGAGTGCCATGCCATCACACAGCTCACAGCAACCTCCAACTCCTGGGTTTAGGCGATTCTCTTGCCATAGCCTCCCGAGTAGCTGGGACTACAGGCCACAACGCCCGGCTATTTTTTTGTTGCAGTTTGTCTGGGGCTGAGTTTGAACTCACCACCCTCGGTATATGGGTCTGGTGCCCTATCGACTGAGCCACAGGCACCGCCCAGTAAAACCTATTTTAAAAATAATGTAAATAGGGTGGCACCTATGGCTCAGTGAGTAGAGCGCCGGCCCCATATACCAAGGGTGGCAGGTTCAAACCCAGCCTCTGCCAAACTGCAACAAAAAAATAGCTGGGCGTTGTGGCGAGGGCCTGTAGTCCCAGCTACTCGGGAGCCTGAGGCAAGAGAATCACTTAAGCCGAAGAGTTGGAGGTTATTACGGGCTATGACACCACGGCACTCTACTCAGGGCAACAGTTTGAGGCTCTTGTCTCAAAAAAAAAATGGCTGAAACATGATAAAATATTTAAACTTAATTGATAAATCGACCTAGGATTTGTGTATGGCAGACTCTTAAGGTTATTTGAAGGAACAGACAATACTGATAAGGTGGTAACGATGGAAGTATAATGTGGTACAACTTTTCTGGGAAGCTGTTTGATAGTATGTAATAACATCCTTAAAAATGCTCCTTGTTACCTCAGTGGCTAGCACACCAGCTGCATACACTGGAGTTGGTGGGTTCAAGTCCATCCTGGGTCTGCCAAACAATGACAACTACAACAAAAATATATATATATATATACGTATGTATGTATTAAGCCAGAAGTTGTGGTGGGCACCTATAGTCCCAGCAACTTGGATGGTTGAGGCAAGAGAATCACTTAAGCTCAAGAGTTTGACGTTGCTGTGAGCTGTGATGTCACAGCTCTCTACTGGTGACAACATAGTGAGACTCTTGTCTCAAAAAAAAAAATCTCATTATCATTAACCCAACCATTTTTGATGTTAGGAATCTTATAATCCTTTATCAATTTCTTTTTCTTTCTTTCTTTTTTCTTTTTTTTTTAAGAGACAAAATGTCATTATGTCACCCTTGGTGGAGGGCTCTGGTGTCACAGCTCACAGCAACCTCTAGCTCTTGGGCTTAGGCTATTCTCTTGCCTCAGCCTTTCAAGTAGCTAGGATTACAGGCGCCTGCCACACACCTGGCAATCTTTTGTTGCCAGGGCTGGGTTTGAACCTACCACCCTCTGTATAAAGGCATTGCCCCCTTTATAAATTTCAGTAGTAAAATCTTAGGCTATAAGTGGGTAAAGGGACCTGTATTTGGCTCGGCGCCTGTGGCTCAAGTGGCCAAGGCGTCTGCCACATACACCTAAGGTGACAGGTTCAAATCCAGCCTGGGCCCGCCAAACGACGACAGCTGCAACCGAAAAATAGCCAGGCTTTGTGGCGGGCACCTGTGGTCCCAGCTACTTGGGAGGCAGAGGCAGGAGACTCGCTTGAGCCCAGGAGTTGGAGGTTGCTATGAGCTGTGATGCCATGGCACTCTACCCAGGGGGATAGCTTGAGGCTCTGTCTCAAAAAAAAAAAAAAGAGAGACCTGTATGTAATATTATCAATTATAAATATGTATTTAAATATATATTTAGAAAAAATTTTTCCATTTTCTAGAAAGAAAACTGGTATTTATATGAGCATTAATATTTTTTGTATTTTTTGTTTGTTTGTTTTTGTTTTGTTTTGTTGCAGTGTTTGGCCGGGGCTGAGTTTGAACCTGCCACCTCTGGCATATGGGGCCGGTGCCCTACTCTTTTGAGCCACAGACACTACCCAATATTTTTTGTATTTTATGAGTCTTCCAGGTGTTCTCCAGTGGCCTTATATTCTACAATTTGTAAAGTCTGTAATTCGTTGTCTTTAGGTGACAGTCTTCGGGGTTTGTTTGTTTGTTTGTTTGTTTGAGATAGTCTCATTATGTCACCCTTCGTAGAGTGCTGTGGCGTCACAGCTGACAGCAACTTCAAACTTTTGGATTAAGTGATTCTCTTGCCTCAGCCTCCTGAGTAGCTTGGACTAAAGCCACTAGCCACAACACCCGGCTATTTTTTGGTTATAGTTCTCATTGTTGTTTAGCAGGCCCTGGCTGGGTTTGAACCCACCAGCCTCAGTGTATGTGGCCAGCGCCATACTCAATGAGCTATGGGGTGCCTAGCCTGTTTTTCTGTTTTTAGTAGAGATGAGGTCTTGCTTTTGCTTGGGCTGATCTCAAATTTGTGATCCCAAGCAATCTATCCACGCCAGCCTTCCAGAGTGCTATGATTACAGGTGTGAGCCACTGTGCCTGTCCTGTTTCTTAAATTATAAATGTTTTTAACCTAAAAAAAATTCATACATCTATAATTTCTGGTTTTGAACAAAATTTTATGCTCCTATACCATTAAGCTTACAGCTTTAAACTCATGCACTTGAAGCTGCAATTAGAATTAGTTCGCCTTTCAGTGTTAGCACTCATTTCAGTGTTTTCTTTTTTGTGACAGAGTCTCACTTTGTTGGTGCACCCCGCCCCCCCCCAGTAGAATGCTCTGGTATCTAGCTCACAGTAACCCTAACTCTTGGGCTCCCAAGATCCTCTTGCCTCAGTTTTTCTATTTTTAGTAGAGATGGGGGCCTCACTTTTGCTCAGGCCGGTCTCAAAATTGTGAGCTTAAGCAATCCACCTGTCTTGGCCTCCCAGAATGCTAGGATTACAGGAGTGAGCCACTGAGCCCAGCCTTTGTAGGGAATCTTTATCCATGTGTATTTCCTCTTACTTCTCTGCTTCTTGTGATCTTGTGATGAAGACTTCTTCATTCAACTTAGTTTAGATATTTTTCTTTTTTTTTTTTTTTACCTTTTTTAATACCTTCATTAAATTACATGTTTTAACAGTTGAATTGGTTCAATTTTCACTTCGTAGTTTTAGTCTGTTGTAAAGAGATTTTCTCTTCATTTCCCCCATTCTTTTTTTTTTCATTTCCCCCATTCTAATTGTTCTCCTGTACCATAGTAACTACATTGATTACTAAATCAGAATTCATTTAGCTGACCACTTCTTGAATGTGACTGACCTACATGAAAAATATTAGTACTTTTACTTTGGGAAATTTATTAATCTTCATAAAGTACCCCAAAGCCACTAAAATGAAACATCATTGTATGCTTATGTAAGTATTTTCTAATGGCATTTTCTTCATATCTCTTGAGAATTATTTCAGTTTACAGATAAATTTGTAGAAGAGTCTCTAAAACTCTTTGGCTCTTTCAGTGAAGTGAAGACTTATGATCCTTCTGGTGACTCCACACTTCCAGCCTGTTCTAAAAAACGCAAAATAGAACAAGTAGATAAAGAGGATGAAATTACTGAAAAGAAAGCCAAAAAAGCCAAGATTAAAATTAAAGGTTAGTTTGAATTTGTTTTTTTGTTTTTTTTTTTTTTTTGATGCTGTGTATGCTGTTACTTCATAAAAAGTATAGATTTTGTAAGTCTTAGACATACTTGCCATTTAAGTTTGTAAAACAACCCATATTGCAAGCTAATGGTATTTTAATATTCCATTGTGTTCTCTGGAAATAGTTTGGATATTGTTAGATTATCAGACTTCATAGGAAAACTTGCGAAGCTTATCTTTGAATATGTGGAATTAAATACTTTCCTAAGAGTATCAAAACTAAAGTTTCTACCACGTGGACTATTTCAAGAATTAAAATAGGAGGAAGTAAAAGGAATATAGTTTCTAAATTGGTTGCTGAAAACTTGTTTCTTGCTAGGAATAAATGTGGAATTGATTTTTTTCATTGTTCTGTTATATGGAGTGGACTAGAAGAGTAGCATACTGAGTAGCCTGCCATCATACTACTAATATTTTAATAGGTGCTTACCAGTGAGCTTTGCTGTCCTAAAGCCAATTAACAAGTACTCTGCCCCTATTTATTAGTTATACCTGCATTTATTACACACCTGCCACCTACTTTTGTAGGAAAGTAAAACATTAAAGCAATAGTTGCTTTACCTTAGTTTCTAAGTTGCTTAGTGGTCTAACATGTACCGTCACCAAATGCAGTGCTTGTTGTGCAGCACATATGCTAAGGTTGGAATAATATAAATAACATTAGCATGGGCCCTGTGCAAGGGTAACACACAGTCACCAAATGTTCCCTATTTTTATTTATTTTTGAGGTAGAGTATTGCCTCAAAGGCAATAGTCTATTGCACTCAGAGGCTAAAGTGCTATAGTGTCATCATAGCTCACAGCAGTCTCACACTCCTTGGGTTTAAGTGATCCTCTTGCCTAAACCTCCCAAGTAGTTGGGATTACAGGCACCCTTTACAACACCCAGCTAATTTTGCTATTTTTAGTAGAGATGAGGTCTCATTCTTGCCCAAGCTCAGAACTTCTAAGCTTAAGTGATCCTCTTGTCTCAGCCTTCCAGAGTGCTAGAATTACATATAGGCATGGGCCACCATGCCTGACCATGTTGCATTATTTTTAAAATGCCTGAGGTGATGGATACCCCAGTACCCTGATTTGATTAATTCACATTGTATGCCTGTAACAAAACATCACATGTGCCCTGTAAAGGTATACAAGTACAGGACCAGGAGCAGTGGATCATGCCTATAATCCTAGTACTCTGAAAGCCAAGGTGAGTGGATCACCTGAGCTCAGGAGTTCTCGATCACCTCACATAAGAGTGACACCCTGTCTCTACTAAAAACGGAAAAACTAACTTGCCACTGTGGTGGATACTTGTAGTCCCAGCCACTTGGGAGGCTGAGGCAAAAAGGATTGCCTAAGAGTTGGAGGTTGCTGTGAGCTAGGATGCGACAGCACTCTACCCAGAGCACAGGGTGAGACTCTGTCTCAAAATAAAAAATAAATAAATAAAAGATATACGTAATAATACATATAATTACAACAAATGTAGACTCTTTACCTTGGATAGAGAAAAAAACAAATTATTTGGCTCGGCGCCTGTGGCTCAAGCGGCTAAGGCGCCAGCCACATACACCTAAGGTGGTGGGTTCGAATCCCCAGCCC